GAATGTCTGCAGAGTGGGAGACTCCACAACCTCTCTGGGCAGCCTGTTCCAGTGCTCTGCCACCCTCAAAGTAAAGAAGTTCCTCCTCATGTTTATATGGATCTTTTATGTTCAAGTTTGTGCCTGTTACCTCTTGTTCTATCACTGCGCACCACTGAAAAAAGACTGTTGCCATCTACCTGGCACTCTCCCTTTAAGTATTTATAAGATCCCCCTCAGTCCTCTTTTCTCTAGACTAAAAAGACCCACGTCCCTCAGCCTTTCCTCATAAGAAAGATGCTCCAGTCCCTTAGTCATCTTTGTGGTCCTTTGCTGGACCCTCTCCAGCAGTTCCCTGTCTTTCTTGAACTAGGGAGCCCAGAACTGGACACGATACTCCAGATAAGGCCTCACCAGGGCAGAGTAGAGGGGAAGGATGACCACTCTTCTTGCCATACTCTTCTTGATGCACTTCAGGATGTCATTCGCCTTCTTGGCCACCAGGGCACATTGCTGGCTCATGGTCATCCTGTTGTCCACCAGGGCTCCCGGGTCCTTTTCCACAGAGCTGCTCTCCAGCAGGTCAGCCCCCAACCTGTACTGATGCATGGGGTTATTCCTCCCCAGATGCAGTACCCTACACTTGCCCTTGTTGAATTTCATTAATTTGAATTTGCAAGTTGGATGGAAAGTATCACCTTTTTTATTTATAAATAAATCTTTCAGCTGAAGTGCACTTAAGAGGTGAATGATTCCCTAAGCAGCAATACAAATGAAAGAGGCAAGCAGAACTAACAATTAATAACACTATCACCTTGATTTTTATCCAAGTGTTTTGTTATAAGCTTTTATTTTAAAAATTCATAGATGGATACAGTGGACCAAATGTTGCCATTGTTTATATCCTATATAACCCTTGGTTAGGTTCACTGTGCTTAAGCAGAACTTGGCTTTACTTTTGCTCTAAACCATCTTGGTCATTCTGGATTGAAGGTAGGCCACTGAGCCAGTCAAAGTTATATTTGATTATTACTAAAAAGGGTTGCCTATAAAATGAACAAGCCAAAAAAGTACAATCAGAGTTGAAAAGTAAATAGCGCAGTGTAAGGACAAGGTACTGGTACCTGATCCATCACTTGTCCACAAAAGTGCCACATACCCCTGCTACGTTAGTTAGGTCTCCAGTTAAGATGCATCTGGACAGATGTCTCAGTATTATTTCTGGACTGGGTAGGCCAGCAGCAGGAGTGGCAACAACATGATTGAATGTTTGGGACCCAGCAATTTTGGTCTCGGAAGTTGCACAACCTGTGGTGGCCACTGATAGGAGTATGTCAGTGCAACAGCCCCAGGTTTCTTTCCCTGACACAGTAAGTCAGGCCCCTTGCGTAACATCCCTTCCTTTTTCTTGTAACTGTATATACCCAGCAACTACCATCTGAAAACAACCGACGACCCACTGCAGTTTAGAGGGTCACTGAGGTGCAGAAGAGAGAAGAAACATCTTGATATAGCCAGAAATCAGCCTTGTAAAATGTTCTGTGTGGACTAAAAATGTTGCCCCTGAAAAGGACAAATCAGGGATTCGTCCTTCTGACAGACCACTGTTGTTTCTCAGCTGCTCTCACTGGAGCTCTGCAGGCCAGAAAAAGACGGACTCATCACCAATGGCATCCAACACTGCTGTCCAGATGGGATAAATTTCCAGAATCCACACTGGTTGCCGGTGATTCCACTGCTGCCCTGCTCTGCCAACTGCTGCCCTTTTCAATAGCACTTTAGCCCACACTCATATACAGCAAGGCAATTCCTTATGGACACTGTCAAGACTAGAGTTGGAGGTGAGCACTTGTCCATTCTGTTTTGTACAACATACAGTGAAGATTTATTAAAAGGGATGTAGTAAAAAACATGCTGTTACAAGAGACAGTAAATCACCTAGCCTTCTCTTTTTAACTACACTGCAAATAAGCCTACAATGGAGGGTAAATAAAGTTCTCCAGTGGACATTTTCCCCTATATTAGCCTTTAGTGAGCCCTCTGCTGTATGCTTGAACGTCTGCACTTCCAACCACTTTGTATTTTACACTTTTTACCCATAACCTTTGTCTTGTGGGTGGATCCTCAGGGCTGTGCATAGGTGTAGCATCCTCAGTAGATGAAGAAAGGACTTTTTCCCCTTTAATATATACACCATAAACATTTGGTCTGCAGATATTTTAGTCTTGAAATCATTTAAGGGTCAAGTGAAAATAGAAGAAAACCCCTTTTGATTCCTGCTACCCAAAGATCTTTTTGTCAAGAGAAAAAGGATTGGTAAGACTAAGAAATGTCCACTACATATCTACCTTGCCAACTGCTCAGAGTATAAACTCTCCAGCATCTAATCTCCTCCAAGTACTCTTTTATCTGGACGATAATCACTATTCCAGTGCCAGGACCCTTCCTCCACGCAGTGAGACACAAATTGGCAAAAACAGGGCCCTTTATCCCAGTGCCCTGGTGTGGTCCCCAGGTAGGAAAACTGGAAGTGCCTCTTGGCTACACAGCAGGCATAATCAGAGGAGAAATAGTGCAAGGCTCGCTGGAACATCTCTTCAGCAGAGGGTTCTTCCTCTCCAAAAGTCTCTGAGAAGTGCCTTCTGCACCCAGCAAGGGAGATGTAAACTAACTGGAGCTTCACTCGGGAATCACAGCCAACTAGCAGGGAATCCTTTATCAGCAATGAGTTGGCCTCACCAGCAACTTGGGACATCTCCAGAAGTTTCTCATCAGCTGATTTGGTTTGGTAGTTGTAGGCACAATTAACAAAAGCAGAAAAAGTACACAAAGTTGCAAAGACCATAATACAGCCAAAGAAATTTTTATAGGAGTCACCAGAGTCCTGGCTTAATGAACTAAATAAGATGGTGGTAATCACCAAATATAAGCTTCCTAACAGGCAAACTGAGATCCCAAAGATAATACTGACTGATGAACAAGGTGCTACCCTAGATGATACCTCATTAATCATCTGGATGGCCTTTCTGTAGACCTCAGTATCTTCACAGACCATCTTCAGCTCGTCTGGCAGTTCCTCACTGAATGTGCCTCCTCTCCATCTTGGAATGACCTGATCATCCACTGCAGGTAGGGCCAGGAGGGATTTCCCATTGTAAAGGGATGGCGGGCTATAAGGAACCATGGTGGCATTCTGCATCTCGTGGTTGGGAGTGCAAATAACCTTGATAAATTTATCCAAAAAGTGGATGTCACTGGTGTCAATATAAGTCAAATGGGTGAGGTGCAATGGCACAAAACAGGGTACCAACATGATGGGGATCACTGGCTTCCTTTCTAAACAGTCTTGGAAGACAGACAGATTGGCTTCCAGAAGGCACCACCTGCTCTGGACAAAGTCAGGACTGAGGACTAAGACAATTTTCTGGCTTCCTTGAATGGCCTCAACCATGTTTTCAATGATTGTTTTACCTGGCATAAAGTCCCTCTCATGATAACAGGCCTTCAGATTAGGAATCATGGCTTCTAGGCTCTGGATAAAGTTCCTTGCCCAGGCTGAATTGATGTTACTATAACTGACAAAGATGTGGTAAGTCTCATGGGCTGCCAGCACAGGTAGCTCAGGAAGCACCTGTGGTCCTTGAAGATCTGTCATTCCTGATCTTGAAGATAATCGAGAACTGGTCTCACTAATACAAGTAGCAGAAATGGGTTTAATTTCCTCCTTGAAATCCATCATTCTTTGCTGCAAAAGAAAACCATGAAAGCACAAATTATGAAATCATGCTCCATAAAAAAAGAGAGAAATAAAATGCATACTTTTGCAAACTGTTCTGCCTGCCACAAGCATACCATTTTGTCTGTCCGTGCTTCTCTTCTCAGGCTATGCTATACAATTGTGGTTTTGCATTCACAGACGCACTGGTAATGGTGACAGACTCAGAGTTCAGAAGTTGGGGTATCAAGCATCTAGCTTAGTCTCTGGCTTCAACTCAACTCCATGCTGAAAACTTCAGTCACATTGGTAAACACTGATTCATACTTTTAATTTAACCCCGTGGAATTATTTCTGGGAGCAAATGTTTTTCAACTAGATAGAATTTTAGTTCAACTACAAGAGTAATTATAAGTAACTATATATTCCATTCAAGAATTTGCAACAGCAAAGCTCCTTAGTGATAAATATCAATATTATCTACTTAGGATTTAATATGAGGAATGCACATAATATTGTTCACTACTTTTGATATCAACACGGAGAAGCAAGAAGCAGAGCTAGTAGCATAAGTGCAGCTGCCCTCTTCAGACAGCTCTCCACAGACCACCAGAAAGTGTCCTGAACCTCCTCAGATGGTCTGTCCCTCACTTCAGCCTGGCTGAGTAAGACAAGAAGGAAGCAAAAAGATTGACTTGGAGCCCTTTATAAGAGCTAGGTGTAATTTCTGTGGAGGTTTTTGTTCTTGGTGTGAAAACCTCTCTGAAGTGATCCATCCGTCCACACTGGAGAGGCTGAGGGGAGAATAAAATGACAGCGAGGTGTAGTAAGGCTCAGGTACTGCCGCTCTATATCGCTCCCTGTATCATACAAGGACTCATTACTCTTAGAAAATACTACTTTTTGCAAACATCTAGCACACAAAATTTCAAGCAACTTTGTTTTATTATAGCAAAAAGAAATAAGGGGTGCCAAACTGTGTCCTTCTACTGCCAAATATTCTTATCTCATCCAGCACCTGAACAAGTCATGTTAGCTTGCTGAGAACTGTATGAGTGGTGCTTATTGTTCTCCTACTTCTCCAGCCTCCTCATTTTCCCTTTTGCCAGCTGGTTGCATGAGAGGCTTTTCTCTTCTTCCTGCCCTTCTCCTCCTCCACCTCAGAAAGGAATTCCCCTCTGCTGAGCTCACATGAGGACTTGAAACCAAAACTAGCCAGCGCTGTCAGCACCAGCAGAGAGACCAGGAGCCCGAGCAACAGCCAACCTTCTTTTCCCTAACAGCCCTGGGGTGCTGGGAGTGGAGCATGGCCTTGGGAGTGGGGCATCATCGCCACTGCGTGAAGGAAAGTGGGAAGGAGGGAAGCATTTACTCACCACCTGCGAAGAGGCGAGAGGTGAGGTCCAGCAGCTGCTGGTTTCAGCGTCTTGGACTTCCCTGCCGGGAAGGAGGAGCCTTAGCCTCGGAAAGTGAGTGACAGAAGGGGAAGGCACTTGGCAAGAAGACAGATATGGTGGGGCCCCGGTCTCTCAGCTTCTCCTGGAAGCATCTCTGCACACCTGGACATCACAGAACTCCCTTCTTGAAGTTCCCTTCTTGTAGCACAAACTTGTTTGGTTATGTTTGCCTGAATTTGTTTTAAAACAATAGATGTCTCCTGCAAATTCTCCTTTGTTGAATGAGGTGCTGTTGCTGTTCATGTCTCTCAAATGTAATTTCCTGGGGTTTTGCTTGCCTACATTGCATGTAAAGCCAAATGCAAGCTCTAACAGTGAGACAAAAGACCCCATGGTAAGAGGAAAAAAAAATAAATTTCATTTTGCACTCAACTAGACACAAATCACAGGTACTTGTTTCCCCCTGCGTACTTTTCCTGCAAATGCTTTGAGTCATCTGACTCTCCTCTGTGACAGCCGCAGAGGCTGGGTAGGTAGAGGTTCAAGTCAGTAACTCAGGTTGGAATCAAGCTGCATCATGCACCTGGATGATCAAAACAGAGTTCTTGCAGGAGTCCACAATTGCCTGTGACAAAATAAATACCATGGTATGAGTATATTTGAAGCAGAGAGTCCCAGGCTTTGCTTCATCCTTTGAAAGAAAACAGAGGAATACCTTATCCAGAGCACATGAGCAGTTCAGATGTGACAGAAGAGAGACCTGTACTCAGAGAGCTTTCAGCACAAAGAGACAAAAGTATGTGTTTACACACACACACACCCCCCCTCTCTTTTTTCCCCATCTTGTTTTTGGGTAAGTTTGTTTATTTTTTTTCTGTTTTGGGTACAGTTCTGGTTTGGCTGCTATTCATCCAATTTCTGCTGTACTTGCTTTTTGTTAGCAGACTAATGCCTTGTTGCTTAGTTAATTCTGTACAACCACTTCCAGGCTTTTTAAATTTATTTTTTTTTAAGAACCTTGCCTTCATTCACTGATTCCTCCTAAAAATTAAAATCCCTTTGTTGTGAATCTTGCCAAGATACTCATAGCATTTTTTCCACCAAGTGTACGCTGACTGATACAGTCATGTCCAGTCTATCACATACAGTATCTGCGCCTGACTTCCTGTTTCTTGCTGCACTCATTTAGCACTTACTACATAACTCAGTATAATCTGTCTGGTGAAGCCTCATCCCTGCTTCCATGTCACATTCTCTCTGTACTTCCCTATTGCTTCTTTTCAACACTGCAGCTGTTATGGCTAGGACACTCTTCAGAACAGACGTACAGACGCCAGGATCTGTGCTGACTCACTGACAACAAAAACAATGCACAGGGGCTACTCAAAGCTTCTGCAAGCAAGCCATCCATCACATTAGCAAGCAAGATACAAATAACAAAGCTGGACTTAAAAGCTGAATCCAGAACCCCGCTGTATAACGTACTGCCAAAGCCCCAGCTGGCTTCACAAGCCACATGCCTGCAGCCGCAGCTATACTGCCGAGTAGAGAAAAAGGGTGAACTCAAATACAGCCCCATACTGCCATGGTTAAATTACTTTCATGCTGGATGGAATGTATCATCATAGTGCATCCTATAAATATTCACATCTGGACAGTCCTAGCTTGTGTAGGTCTGGACTGTACTTCCTTGCACGTTGCTGAAGTACAAGGTCCTGAAGTATCTGAGCATCAGATCCTTGGCTGAGGAGCACCTCAGCTCCCTACACAGCACATGAAAAGAACTGGGTGCATTAGAATGGGATGTGAAATACTTATCGTTAATCACCAGGACCTGTAAAGCACAAGGCTGTGTCCGGACACCAAATCTTCTTTACAAATTAGATACCTGAGTCAATAACATGAAAGAAATAAAAACATCCACTCAAGAGCTAAAGCCTGGGTATGATTGTCTGTGTATGAGTTTGTTTGGATAAAAAGAGATGTCTGCTAACTGGTATACATTCACCTCGAAGTTTGGACACACAAAGTAGGCTTGCAAAGCAACTGAATACCCCATAAAAGGTGAGAAAAAATGCTGAAGGCATTACTACGATTGCCAAATTTTAAAGTGTTTTTCTTTTCTGGCTTACTATTAAAATTTTTTAATAAATGGCTGTACAGCCAAGAGCTCTGACATACTAAGCCTTATCTACTGTAATTATCTCATAGGATTATAGAATGGTTTAGGTTGGAAGGGACCTTAAAGATCATCGAGTTCAACCCCCCTGCCATGGGCAAGGACACCTTCCACTAGACCAAGTTGCTCAAAGCCCCATCCAGCTTGGCCTTGAACACCTCCAGGGATTTATCTTCCACAACTTCTCTGGGCAATCTGTTGCAGTGCCTCACCACCATCAGAGAGAAAAATTTCTTCCTAATATCTATTCTAAATCTGTGCTCTTTCAGTTTGAAACCATTCCCCCTCGTCCTATCACTACATGCCCTTGTAAAAAGCCCCTCTCCAGCTTGCTTGTAGGCACCCTTCAGATGGAAGGCTGCTATACGGTCTCCCCGGAGCCTTCTCTTCTCCAGGCTGAACAACCCCAACTCTCTCACCCTGTCTTCATAGGAGAGGTGCTCCAGCCCTCTCCTATGCTCTCATCTCTTTACTGTTTAAGAAAACACTTTGTAGAATGTAGCGGCCAGGAATCTACTGTGTCTGTCTACTAGTTTTATGAGAAAGAAGAAGACACATTCAGGAAATGGCATGAGTGAAACCAAGAGCTTCCCACCGCTGAGAGGGAGTTGTAGGAAGCCCGTACAGCTCAGTAGCTCAGCAGAAAATCAACCCAAGAAAACAATGCATCTTTTCTTTCTAGGCTGCGTGGTTCTTTGTTGCTGGCTGAGGCCAAACCATGACACAGATTAAATCCAGTCTCAGAGGGATCCAAATAGCACAAAAGCTGGCGTGCATATGGGAGGGCAAACCATCTTGTCACTTCAGCTATTTATGACACCAAGTCATAAAAGGATTTTAAAACCCTTTCCTTTTTCCACCCAGGAAGAACCTTTTGTGATCTAGTACTTCTTGAAGGACACACTGTCACTTACTCACTGCTCTCACTGAAGTTCATGCCATACCCTACATTTCACTGGTTTTGCCGATCACTTGAACTTACTTCAGTAGTGATTCTCATGTGTTTTCTTCATCCATCACTCAAAGAGAATTGCATTATTCAGAAGATATAGGAAGTCACAAAACCCTGTTCCTACAAGCTCCTACCTGGCAACCTTGTCTCTATAGAAGATCGCACTGCTGCTGTCTACCTCAGCGAAGAATCTGTGACATCTGCCATTCTCCAAAGTTTGAAGAATTACCTTTCTTCTGCAGTGCATGATCAGCACTGTTTCACAGAAGCTCCTCATGCTGAGTTGCAGCTATGCAGCTGAGCTGCCATTCACCTGTTCTTCCCAGCCACGGTGGGTCAGAAGTATAGAAAGACAATCTTTTGTACAACTAAATGCATCAGTACTCTATGGTAAAAGAAGCTTCTTTATATTTTGGACAAATTCAGTGACTGCAGGCCAGTCTCAAGGTTTGGCAAACACCATTCATGTCCCTATCTATAGGTGTGCCCTACTATTGCCGCTGAATATCAGCAAAGAATTTACAGCAAATGAAACAAAATCATATGGTTCTGTGCTTTGGTTTCAGCCAGGTCTTATTTACAATGACCACAAGTCAAGAAAGTCTCTAGTCAAGAAATTAGTCTGAGTTCATACTGATGTGAAAGCAGATTACGTAGGCAGAATGATAAAATCTAAACAAGATAGGGTCCTTGTAGAAAAACAAGAACTTAACAATTTCTGAACACAAGAGAGGCAAGATCTTGTTAAAAAGTTTCCAGTGATATGATCACCGACTCATCAATGTGCAGTAAAATGGATCAAAACTTTCAGGAGCATTTCAGAAATTGTTAGCACTTCCTGGCTTTATAATAATACATTTTGAGGCTATGCATACTTCTTTTTTTTTTCCTCAGCATACTAGGGTATATATCTGGAGCAAAACAGAGGCATCCAAACACGCCATCCCACACAAATTAATTCTTCGTCATTAAGAGCTCTATTCATTGCCTAGCACAATTATGATACAATTTATTAAATAGATTATTCCATCTGGAGAGCACGGGTCCATGTTCTCACACACCATGATACAGTCTCTGTACTTTTCTAAGTTATATAACAAAATACAGATGGACACACCACATCCTGTACCTTTCCCTAAAGTTACAAGAATACCAGACCTGGAATAACACACAGCCTCACTCGTTCCCTGTCAGCCAAGTGAGAAAAGTACAGTGAGAAAGAAACTCAATGGTGTTTTGACCAACTGGCTTATTACACAGTGCATAAGTGATCTATGGCAACAACATGTAAGTCAGGAAACACATTTTTAAATGATTGAAAGAAACACAATATTGCCAATGAAAAAAGGGAGGCTGCCAGGAGGATGGGACCAATCTCTTTTCAGTGGTGCCCAGCAATAGAACAAGAGGTAAGGGGCACAAACTTGAATGTAGGAAGTTCCATGTAAACATGAGGAAGAATTTCTTTACTTTGAGGGTGGCAGAGCACTGGAACAGGCTGCCCAGAGACGTGGTGGAGTCTCCCACTCTGCAGACATTCAAAACCCATCTAGATGCCATCCTGTGCAACCTGCTCTAGATGAACCTTCTCTGGCAGGGATGTTGGACTAGATGATCTCCAGAGGTCCCTTCCAACCCCTACTATTTTGTGATTCTGTGGTTCTGTGAGTGTTTTCCAACTCTAGAGGAATGAAAACTGAATAAAGGCATAACTACCCCATTCATAAAAGATGCCATCAAACAAAGAAACAGTCCTCCTGCCAAAATCTGACACTGATTTGCTAGTACTGAAAACAACTTACAAGGATAAAAACATTTCAAATTCCTCCAAACAATGAACTCTCAAGCATCCTCATTGCTGGACCAAACTAGCGCTCGGGCTGTTCAAAACAGTAGCAACACGCTTGCTGATGCAGCTGAAGAGACATCTGAAAGTCGCAC